TGGAGTATTTTTTACACTTCTTATTTTGAAAAACTTTTTATATAGTTTTTAAAAATATAAATTTTATTTTTTGTTTCTATACCAATACTTAAATAAAATGAGTTAAAAAAACTCGATATTTTACCTGGTTTTTAGAAATCTGGTGAAGGGAGGGTAGAAAAGGATGGAATATATTTTTTTTCTTTTAATTAAAAACATACTCCGAATCGCAATAATTTTGGTCCCACTCAGAGTTGGCAGTGGCACGCATTTAAAGCGTACCCTACGAAACCACACGTGTGTCACGACTGGGACGTGGAGCCCTGGGCTTAACCGCACGAGTGGCTTCCTCACGGGTTGCCTGAATCGCCGCTACAGTAGTCTTCCCAAACTATACTTCACCCAGCTGCGCCTAGTTGGGGTTGTTGGTACAATATAAACGTTTCCGATTTTTTAATGAATTAAGCTACAAAATTTGTACTACATATTATATTCCAAATGTATGTATTGACATTTTGTGTGGTAGTTTGGTGTTAGTGTGATGAATTACAATGACAAAAAATGTTAGTTCAATTTTTTTAAATTAAACTAATATTTTCTGACAGTGTGAATCATTAAAATATTCGTACATTTCTTTGGGGTACAACTTGGAATACATTTTTGGTGTACCCTTAGTATGATTGTTTTTTAATCGTCTCCATCCTAGTTTCGTTTTTTATAAATGGGTCAAAACAATTTGAAACATTACCATGTCAAATTTAGAGTAAATTCTTTAATGGTATGTTTGGGAAGTTGCGAATATGGATTTTGATTTGAAATCCGGATTTGGCTCAAATTTCATGCTTGAAAAAATTAAACATTTTAAATTTGGATTTGAGTCAAATTTTTTTCGTTCATAACAAATTTTAATTTAAAATTCATGTACCTCCCCTTGTGATTTGAAACTCAGAATTTCAAATTTTGGAATTGAAGTGTGTGAATTGAAATGAAATACTAGTTGGCAAACACTATCTAAATGATTTTCTAATTTCTATAATTGGGAGATTTCATTTGGATTTTATACTTGTCCTACCACTTCCTCCTTGATGCAGACCTACCTCTTCATTTGGAAGGATATCAAATTAATAAAGACAACAATCTTAATAATTGGTAAATGAAAATCGAATATGAAAACCCCTACTAATAAAAGATCATTTAAAAAATTTGCTATCTTACTTAAAGTATAATAAAAATATAGATAAACATCTAAAAGATACGGAGTAACATTTTAGTATATAAATCGTACAGAGGGGGAACCAATTTATATTGGAATTAGAAGCACTTGCCTCCAGTGGATTAAAAAAAACTAATTTGTTGTTTGATTACCCAGTTTTTTTAAAAAATAACATTAGTGCCCCCATTAAAAATTATTTGTGCCCCCACTAACCTTTGCTAATCTATTTGTGTATAATTTCTAATAGCAAACGTATTTATTTACTTAGTTATAAATTATGAGTGATAATTTATGATATTGATCCAAATTTATGATATTGACTTGTTTTACTTTTTTAAATTCAAATTATCAGAAATCTTATTTTTTATTTTAGAGGAAACAATAACACAACGTCAAAATGGATTTCAAGTTTAATTTAAAAAGAAAGAGATTGAGTTTGAGCTCAAGCCCTAACCCAACATAAATGAAATCAACCAAGCTTGTCCTTTGTTTCCCCCATTTTATCAAAAACCAAAAAATAATAATAAAACTATTAAAAACCCCAAAAATATTTCCCCTACTTTTTATAGACCCTATTCCCTTTTATGTTGTGTTTAAGTTATATAATTAAGTTTTTATTTACTAAGTTATAATATGTTGAATAGTACAGCGGGAAAAAATAAAAATAAAATAATCTGAATTTATAAAACGTTCGGATTTTACAACGAGAAATAAAGAAAATAAAACTGGAGTTCTTCGAAAGCTCGAACGGTCGCACGAACGGACGGGTGCTTTGATTTGGAAACAGAGACGTTGAACGAAGGATAGGTTGTCGCCGGAGCAGTTTGTCGAACTAAACTTTAGGAAAGCGGAGTCGCCAGAGCTTTCCTTAAGGTAGTATTGCCCGCCTCCCGCACCGGCAAACGTGGGCAATCTCCTCCCAGGATAAAACCGCTTCGTGCAAGGCCTAGAGCGGTAGAACCGTGCACCGACGAACGAGAACGATGGAAGTTACCGCCGGAGAAGACTATCGGAAATGGGATATTGCTGGAAGTTTATAACGTTGAGAGATGTATTTTCGAAGTGTGTCCTATCCCTGCAGCGAGCCCTCCTTTTATAGGAGGGGAGTTTGGACTCTTCACTTGCAAGTGACGGACATTACGAAGAGTCAATAGACTCTTCACCATTAGTGCATGCATGCTTCAATTCCATACACTTCGACGAAGTGATTAACGAAGTGTACACGCGTGTCTGTTTTGGTCTCGTAAAAAATTAGCCCAGCCGCAGACGCGGGCGCGCCTCGCCCCGCCGCGCGTGCCGAGCCGGACAGCGGCAGCGGCGGGCGCGCGAGGAGTCCACTTCTTGTTCCTTTCATAAATTCAATTCAATGCCTAAGCTTAAATAGGAGAATACGAAAAGTTTAGAAACCGGTGTGGGACAAAGGTATTTACCCTACCTTAGCATTCAACTTTGAGAATTAATTTCTCATTCACCCGAGCACCGTTTATGACGTGTCATATATCAAGATGTTCGTCTTACTTACGAGATTAATCGTCCATAATTATTTTTGAAAATAATTTTTGTGGACCCAACCGAATTTATGTCCGAAAAAGTCCAATTTACTTTAAAATTTCCAACATAATATACGGAGTAAGTGTTAGTTCATAAGTTATACTTATAAGTTTTTATATACTCTAAAATTTTGCTTATATATTAAAATATGTGTTGTGTAAGTTAATTATAAATTGTTGTGTTTATCTTTCTTTACGGTAATTTTTATCAAGTTCTATTATAAAGATTACATATAAATTTTTAATTTGTTTTGAACCGTACGACGACGAGTTTTGAATAGAGGGTAATGAGGCAGTGGCAGTGTTGTGAAAGTGTAGCAGTAGCAGTGTGGTTTCAATGGAATTCGAAGTATAATGGCTCTGGGTAGCGACTGTTAGGCAACCGTAATTCGGGGAGGGGGTGCGAGATGAGCGGAAGTTAATATTATTTCCTTTTTCTATTTTTTTAAATATTAAAACAATATTAATTGTCCGGTACTCCATCCGTCCCTAAAATTTTTCTCCTTTTTTTCATCTGTCTTAAAAAACTTTTCTCATATCTTTTAAAAAGTTACTTTTATCTATACTAATTTTTTAAGTTATTATCACATCAATTCACTATTAATCTACTTATCAAATTTTACTTACCCATCACATCAAAGGATGTTTTTGAAAACTCAACACTAAAATACACACTCATTAAATCTCTTAAAAATCAAAAAATTCCATGTTTAAACAAGTGTATATTTGTCTCAATATTAAACTATTTGTCCTATTAAAGTTAAAAAATAATAACACTTCTATTTAGGGAAATTGAAACTCGTTTACTCTCGTTGGTGTTTTTCTCCATTTTTAAACTTACATAAATTAAGCGTGGAAGTGAGCTTAAAAGTATTTTTGCAAAATACAATTTTGAACATTTGCTTCCCCAAAATTTATAAAATAGAAATAATAATGCTAAAGTCACAAACTAAACAATCACAAAACTCTTACCCTATATTATATACCAGTATATCTTACTTCCTCCGTCCTCCTGTTTTTGTCCACTTTTGACTTTTGGAATTGTTTATATAAACACTTTGACTCGTCAAATTCTCTCAATGTGTAAGCCTAAATATAGTCATGTGTGATCTTGTTTGATTTGTCTTAATATATAGATTATTAATATATAATTTTTATGATTTTTTAATATACAAATTACAAGATAAAATGGATTAAAGAAGTGCATTGGATGGTGTGTAAAAATGAAAGTGGACAAAAATTGGGGGACGGAGGGAGTATTTCGTTAAAAAATTAAAAAATCAAACCTATTTAGGTACAAATCTTAGTTAAGATTGTGTGCATTTCAAAAAGAATAAACCCTAGATTACACAAAAATGAGGTACTCCACTTGCACACTAGGTGTCTATGTTTGCTTTATATACAAGGGAAATGTTAGGGGTACACAAAAGGTATACCCCAAATGTACACCACATGTTTCTCCACCATTCATTTTTATTTGATTTTTATTTATTTATTTTTTTTGAATTTATTTGCCAACTTTTGTGGTCAAGGAGGGGGTGGGGGACATTTGAGATACACCTTTGGTGTACCTTTAGCATTTTTCGATATACAAATAGAATACTCCATTTTAGTGTACCCCTAGCATAACTCTTTCAAAAATAATAAGTCCCATCGGTAGCCAGTTCAACAGTTCTCAAAAATTAAATTTGAAACAAGAGACCAAGAATTGAGTTTCGATAAATCCTAGTTTCACAAACAAAATGGTCACAAAATCCATAAATTTATTATTTGTGAACTTTAATAAAAAATTAAATAGTCTAAAATAATTTTAAAATAAAAACTTAAACCATAAATGATAAATTTATGAAGTTTGTGATTATTCCGTTTGTGAACATAGCATTGCTCTTAAATTTCACCAGCGGCAGTGTGAGAGCAACTTCTCAAAAAGTAAGGGCACTTCTTGTGTGCACTGAACACTGATCCCAATCTCTGTTGCCGGTTGGGTCATGATTTACGTCTTCCAACAATCCTGTCGGACAGGAGATGAGAGGCGCTCGAGAGGAGAAATTTCACTTTAAGAAATTTACCTAAATAGAATTAAAACAAAATGATAATTTGAGCCAGAGTAATTAAGTTTTAATTGTAACTCCCTATATTGGTTGGCATGGGACTATATGGAAAGTGTATAAATGAAGAATGTGTTTTCAATCAACCCGCCAGACTCGGTCGGGACAACACACCTTACCTATAAAGGTCGAGCGAGGATCGCGTAGTATCTCTAGTAGATCATACGCCTCAAACTTTCTTTCCTTAACACATAAACTTTCTCCGGTTGCAAAAATCAAGAATCCCCCCATATCTCTCATTCAACTCTTCATCTTTTTCTTCTTCCCGGAAAAGAAAAAGCAAGAAAATTCTGAAACCTGTCGAATTCAGATTCACCGCTGCTTTCAAAAAAAAAAAAAAAGAAGAAGAAGAAGAAAAACCCAGTTCAGTCCGCCATGTCAGACTTGGAATTCTTCCTCTCCCTTCTTCCATTGATGTTTGCTGCAATTCTCACTCTCAATCTCTTCAAGAGAAGCCGCCACCACCGCCGCCAGGGCCGTCTCAATCTCCCGCCGGGGAAGATGGGGTGGCCATTTCTGGGGGAGACCATCGGCTACTTGAGGCCCTATTCAGCTACCTCAATCGGACACTTCATGGAAGATCACATATCAAGGTACAATAATTAGCTCTCTTTCTTTTGTTTTTTTCCTTGAAATTAACCACAAGCTTGAAATTTTAGTTGAATTAAGCGCAGGTACGGGAAGATATTCAAGTCGAATCTGTTCGGGGAGAAGGCGATAGTGTCAGTGGATGCAGGGATGAACAGATTCATTCTGCAGAACGAAGGGAGGCTGTTCGAGTGCAGTTACCCAAGCAGCATCGGAGGGATTCTGGGGAAATGGTCTATGCTCGTGGTTGTGGGAGAGATGCACAGAGACATGAGGGCCATTTCCCTCAACTTCTTGAGCAATGCCCGCCTCAAGACCCAACTTTTGAGTGAAGTGGAGAAGCACACTCTGTTTGTTCTTGCTTCTTGGAGCCCAGATTCTGTCATTTATGCCCAGGATGAAGCCAAGAAGGTATTTTGATCCTCGTTATTAATCGATTGGAATCAATTTTCTGAAAAACTGGTTCTTTGTTGCAGTTCACGTTTAATTTCATGGCGGAACACATCATGAGCCTGGAGCCTGGGAATCCGGAGACAGAGAGGCTGAAGAAAGAGTATGTGACTTTCATGAAAGGGGTGGTCTCCCCGCCATTGAATTTCCCAGGCACTGCTTACAGGAAAGCCTTGCAGGTACAACTTCTTCTTCCCCTGTTTCTTGGGGCCAAGAATCGTCCTTCGCAAGTTTGAGTTTTTGATTGAATTGGTTCTGTTTAATTTGAACTGGGCAGTCGCGAACAAGGATTCTTGAATTCATCGAGGCGAAAATGGAGGAGAGGGAGAGGGAAGGAGATGGGGGAGGAGCCGGAGGGGATGATGATCTTCTGGGATGGGCGATGAAGAATTCGAGTCTTTCGAAGGAGCAGATTCTTGATTTGGTGTTGAGTCTGCTGTTTGCTGGACATGAGACTTCATCTGTGGCCATTGCTCTGGCCATCTACTTCTTGCAAGCCTGTCCCAATGCTGTTCAACAGCTAAGGGTAATTAATTTAATTAACTTACTAATTAAGCGCATGATGATATTGTTATGAAGTGTGCATATATGCATCCCTCATTCATTAGCTATCCTTAATTAGTTGGCCAGGCAAATGGTAAATACTTCCTCCATGCCGTAAAACATTTCTTCTTTGACTTTTGGAAAAGGAAACTATAGAAATTTGATGTAGAATTTTGATCAAGATGAAACAATCACAATTGAAGCGAGTAAGGCTCAGGAAATATGAAAATGGGTAGGCAATTGAGGTAGATTCGATTAGATTTAAAAAAATCTACTAATAGATTTAACAAAATGTAAGGAGAATTGTATCCGTTTAGGTCAAATTAAAATGTTTCATGGGACGCGTAAAATGTAAAAATTGAAAATTTTACGAAGATAGAAGAAGTAGCATTTTCCTGATAAATTGTAACGAGTTGCGTTTTTTATGTTTTAAAAATTTGAAAAAACAGGACGAACACATGGAAATCCGGGAAGCGAAGGAGAAAAGTGGAGGGAAGGAATTGAGTTGGGAAGACTACAAGAAGATGGAATTCACACATTGCGTGAGTGATCCCGGATACTCTTAGGGCGTGTTTGGTTGACGGGTTTAATTTCTTGAGTTGAAAGTTAAAAGCTAATAGTGTGGTACTATATGTTGTATGTGTATATGTTGGTTTTATTATAGGTTGTGAATGAGACGTTAAGGCTAGGGAATGTGGTGAGGTTTCTGCATAGAAAAGCCATCAAAGACGTCCGCTATAAAGGTATGTTACTTGGACAAAAAAGTCCAAATTTCACCGTTTTTTTTTAAATTCTTTTCATCATTAATGTCTATTTTGACGTACTTATTTTGTCCGTTGTCACATTCTTTTTTTCCCCTTTTTTTGGTTTGTGAGATAAATATGAACCATAGAATTTTATTTTATTTTTCAAAATTCACACTACTTATTAGCAATTATTATAATGAAAATAAAAGTGAGTGTGTTTTGAAAAAGGGTATGACATTCCATGTGGATGGAAAGTGCTCCCAGTTATAGCAGCGGTGCATTTGGATCACACACTTTTTGACCATCCTCACCATTTCAATCCATGGAGATGGCAGCAGGTTTGTCATTTTTACCCAAACACACCTTTCTTTTTTCCCCCACTCTCTCAATCTTTCCTAATTTAGTATTCCAGTATATATTACTCCATCCGTTCATAAATTATCTTTTCGTTCATTATTCACAGGGTTAGATTTTATTCATTTTGTTAACTTTATTTCTTTACTCATTTAATTCAACATCATTTTTCATATAAAATGATTTATAAGTAACATCAAGCAAGCACCATAACACGTAATGAGAAAATAATTGTTGGACTAAGGGAGTATTTGACTTTACAGAGTTTAAAAATTCTGTTAAGTAGATTAGAATAAAAATGTAACATTTAATATTTTACCCTTTATAGATAGAAAAAGAAATGAAAAATATACTTTAATACGGAGTATGTAACAAACATAAATGTAGCATAGTTCGATCAAAATGCATGAAAAGGATTATGGCATTTCACATGAATAGAAAGTTCTATAATTGATCAAGTACCAATATTCAAGAAAACTCGTTCTCGTTGAAACTTTTTCTATGACAAACCAAAAGAAAACTGTGAAACATTTTGGTAGTATTTTTGTTTCTAGATAAATAGATGCACATGATAAATAAATAATGTTTAATGTTATTAAAAAAAAGTGGATCATATAAATGAAAGCAAACACTTCCAAAGAATCGATCTCTTGTAAAGAAAAATACTCAATTGTCTTCACTAGCATACAAAGCGCGTGCACAAAAAAAAAGTTACTCTTTCGTGATGCTAAGATCAACACGTCAAACATGACTTTCTCGTACTTTTCATGGGTGAGCAAGTAACCTTTTTTGCAAAAACCTAGTTTTTTACGAAATTAATACACTAAGATCCATAAAAAAAAATATAGACTTTAAGATCACAGATGAATTTGTCCAAAAAAAACATAACCGAAACATTAGGAAATATGAATCGAGTACTTCTGAGTATAACTTCCTCCGTTCAACAATAAATTTCTCATTTTGAATAACGTACAAAATCTCATCTTTTTAAATTATTTGATTTACATATTAACACAGAATAAAAAAATACAGTTTATATTGTTAAAAATTATATTAAAAAATTAACAAAATAAGATGTGACAAGAAATATTTTATCTTATCAAATTATTGATGAAAATATTCAAACAAACATAAATTATCAAAAAGTCGTAATAATAACGAACTTCATTCTTGAACGAACAAGAGTATATTACTCCCTCCGTCCTATAATGTTCTTCCCACACACTTTTTACCCGGTCAAACTTTAATCACTTTCTTTACCTATTTTCATTAGGTATTCGACAAAATAATATAGTCTTGTCACCACTTGTTTTGTAGAACTTTTGATGTAGTTTTTAAATATATAAATTTTATTTTATAATTTTACACCTACAATCAAATAAATTGAATTAAAAATAAAGTTGGTCAAACTTTGTAAAATGAACCGGGAAGATCATTATAGAACGGAGGGAGTATTTTTTTGTTTTCGAACATTTTTAATGAGACATTTTTTTTTATGGCAAGATAGAGACATTGAATTAGTGGGCGGGAAGGAAAGAAAAAAAAAGAAAAAAAAATTGAAGGCAATTTGGTTGGGTCCAAAGAACATTCCATCATTTACAAACTCACACGCAATCATAGTCCTAACATCTGTTTCTAGGTCACGTCTCAGTGACCTGTCTGGATCAAATGATTTTTTCTTTTGTTTTTTTCTTTTGTAATATCATTACGTATTTTTTTCTTCGTCTAATTCACATTTTTTTCAGCTTCCTATATACTCCGTATGTTCCAAAATAAAATTCTTAGTTTTTTTTTTTAAAAAAGATAAGTATTTCTTGAAATGAATTCTAATCTTTGAATAAATTATACTCTAACTTTAAAAAAAATTTCCAACTAATTAAATGTTCGAGTTGTCGACATATTATTGTTAGATTTGTGAGTCCTTCGTTTTTAGTTACTCCGTAAAATGGATGGTGACGTGGAAATTAAAATAACAAAGTACGGTGGGCCGGTGCGGTGTCCGTGTGGAGTTTTTTTCTACACAAAAGACAATCCAAATTCAACTCCTTATCTGGACTGATTAAGCGGCATTGAATATATACAGTGATTTTGACTGAATCTCGTCTAATTTTGTTGTACAATTTAAAAAAAACATGAAAAAACAAACCACTAATTGTTGTTGAAATTAAGGAATTATGTTAAAAGGTACGGAGTTAGTGCTACATACTCCCTCCGTCTCCGAGTGTTTGTCCACTTTCATTTTTGCCCACCATCCAATGCACTTCTTTAATCCATTTTATTTTGTAATTTGTATATTAAAAAATTATAAAAATTACTCCCTCCGTCTGGTTTTTATGATCCCAATTTGACTTTTAGTGATTTTTAGTGAGTGTTGACTAAGGCTATAAAATGACTAGAATGCCCTTACTAAAAAAAAGAAGGAAAGAAAGCCACATGCAGTATAAAGAAGTGAACAAATACGGAGTACTTTTACTGGTTCCAATCCAAAACAGTAGGGAAGTATGGGCTGATTACATCATATCATCATTACATTACCAAATCATCCAAAAAACACTCCAATTCCCTCCTATTTTTAGAAAACTACCCGCCCAAACATTCCCAAAATTTTTAAAACAACCTTTCCCCTTGCAGTCCTATAAAAGGTCCCTCTCATTTCCTCATTTAGCAGGTTTTTTTCTTGAANAAAAAAGAAGGAAAGAAAGCCACATGCAGTATAAAGAAGTGAACAAATACGGAGTACTTTTACTGGTTCCAATCCAAAACAGTAGGGAAGTATGGGCTGATTACATCATATCATCATTACATTACCAAATCATCCAAAAAACACTCCAATTCCCTCCTATTTTTAGAAAACTACCCGCCCAAACATTCCCAAAATTTTTTAAAACAACCTTTCCCCTTGCAGTCCTATAAAAGGTCCCTCTCATTTCCTCATTTAGCAGGTTTTTTTCTTGAATATGTCTTCTTCATTTTCTTGCTGCAGTCCTTCCACTGTATTCGGGCTGCGCTTCATTTCCTTCGGGCTACTGTCGTTGCACGTTTCTTCGGGGCGCTGTTCTTGAACTCTCTTCGGGCTGCTCTTCACTGTCTTCGGGATGCTGTCCTTGCACGTTTCCTCGGGCTGCTGTCCTTGAACTATCTTCGGGCTGCGCTCCATTTTCTTCGGGTTGCTATCCTTGCACGTTTGTCCGTGCTGCCGTCCTTGAACTCTCTTCGGCCTGCTGTCATTGCACGTTTCTTCGGGCTGCGGTCCTTGAACTCTCTTCGGGTTGCTCTTCATTTTCTTCGGGCTGCTGTCCTTGCATCTGTGCTCTTCATTTTCTTCTGTTTTGTTGGAAATTGCACTTCTTGGAGGCCTGCAAACACACATGAATACCAAGAGGTCTGAGAACACAACGAGGCAGGTAATCAGTGACACATTACTAGCACATTCAAAGCAAAATCTTAATGGTTCATACTCAGCTCAGTATGGGCATATCAACAAACTTGTTGCACAGTTTAATGTATCTAGAAAAACAGTGAGCAAGATATGGGCAATTGCAAAGAAACAAATAGAGCAGGGGGTTGCCATCGATGTGAGGAGTCGAATGATAGGAAAGAAGGGCAGGAAAAGGACAGTGATGGATGCACAGGCTATTGCAGACACTCCACTCAGGAAGAGAACTAATGTCAGATCTTTAGCTGCTGCAATTGGCAAGCCTAAGTCAACCGTGCATGAATGGATAAAAAAAAGGTATGCTGAGGAGCCATTCTAATGCAATCAAACCATTCTTAACTGATGCTAATAAAATATCAAGGTTGAGGTTCTGTTTAGATCAAGTAGACCCTTACAGCATGCCCATCCACCCTCAGTTTAAAACTTTTCACAATGTTTTACACATTGATGAAAAGTGGTTTTACATGTCTAAAACTTCCCAAAAATTTTACCTGCTTCCAGATGAAATTGACCCACACAGAACATGTAAGTCCAAAAAGTTCATAACTAAAGTCATGTTTTTGTGTGTGATTGGGAGACCACTATTTGCTGAGAGTGGAGAAGTATTGTGGGATGGAAAAATTGGCATTTTCCATTTCACAGAAACAGTTCAAGCTCAGAGGAAGAGTAAAAACAGAGCAAAAGGGGTGTTGGAGGTGAAGCCAATCACTAGTGTTACCAAGCAAGTGACAAAGGATATGCTGATCAAACAAGTCATTCCATGTATCCAAGAAAAATGGCCAGCACAATTATCTAAAGACATACACATTCAGTAAGATAATGCAAGGCCACTCATTCAAGGACTGGACTCTGACTTTATGGCAGCAGGTAACACAAATGGATTTCACATCACTCTAAATAATCAACCCCCCAACTCCCCATATTTAAATGTCCTGGACCTTGGGTTTTTTAGAGCCATCCAGTCTTTCAAAGAACAGTGTGCTCCAACCAGTGTTCCAGAGTTATTAGAGGCAGTTCAACTAAGGTAATGGAACATGAAGGAAATAACAACTAGAGATTACCACATATGGGGAAAGATAGACTTGCCAGAGAAGGAAATCTTCCTAAGTCTTTGAGCATAGACCTGGACCTTATTCAGAAGACAGCAAGATTGGTTGGACAACAGAATGGAGGTAGAAATGAAGGAATGGTTGAGTTCAACACGGAAGAGGGAGATGACTACCTATCTTCAGAGTTGAACTAAACACACACTTCTTTTTGGGTTTCAGTGTATGTAATTGGTTGCCACTGTGGGTTTTTGGAGAGTGGTTACCACATTATGTTTTGTGGCTTTATGTGTTTGTAAATGGTAGCCATAGAAAACTTTTTGGGTTTTGGGTTTTGGTTTTTTGGGTTTTCCCAAAACCCAGAGTGTAGTTCCGTTGATGTGTGTTAGATGAGATATACATTGTATACATATTACTTTATGTTGACGGTAGTATACGAATAGTGAAAAAAATATTGACGGTGAAGTAGTAACGACCAGATCAAAATAATAAGAGTATGTAAGTAGTGTCATTTACCAGTGTATCCCAGAATGTTTGTACATAGGGACAGTAGGACACCCAGAGGCAGAGTAAGACCACATAGAAGGTGTAAAACCCTCACTACTCAGAGACATCCTTAAATGGATACATTCTCATCACAGTAGGCATCATTGTTCTCAGACATTCATCACAGAAAGTGGTCACAAACAGTCTTGCAAACATTAGAGGGACAGATAACATAGTGTACACTTTGGACAATCAAAGGCAGAGCAAGACCACATATGAGGACTAATACCCTCACTACCCAGAGACATCCTTAAATGGATACATGCTCAACACAGTAGGCATCATTGTTCTCAGACATTCATCACATAGTGTTAATTAAGTACCCTTTTAGTGGAAAGCCACATGTAGAATAAAGAAATGAACAATATGGAGTCCTGTTACTATTTCCAAAACAAGGGAAGAGCAGGGACAGTAATTGAATCATCCAAACTCACATAATCTATAATTATTTCAGTAATGTTGAAATAATTGAAGTATAGGAAGGTTAAACGAACTTCCCTACTTGTACTTTGAAGCCCAAAAGTATGGATCTGGGCTTGGAAGTAAGATGTTTAGCATATCAATGTGGAGGTGCATGCGTGAGTACATGGGTTGAGAAGAATCAAACCCAGGTCTCTCAAACTCTTCCATCTCGTCACCCTCTTGCCTCCCATCAACAAAATTACAATCTTCTTGAGATTGAATGTTGATAAAACACTGCATTTCTCTGATCGGGGCAGGATCGACACCATCATCGTCACTATCGATGACAATGACCTCGTCATTGCTATGGATTGCGATAACCTCCTCCACCTCGCTGTCATCAGAGATTAAATCTTCGACCTCACCCCAACCATCTTGAAATTCCGTCTCCGGAATGATAGAATCCAAGAAATAGTCATGCGGATCCATTAGATGTGGGCAGAGATCTAGGGTTCTAGGAGAAGAGGGAGAAAGAATTGGGCGGAATGGATCTGGGAAGGAGAGGAGGTGCGAGTTAAAGCAAGAGGGTATAATGAATGCGGGTAGGAGGATTGGGAGAGAAGGGCGATTTAATGAGAGGGGTAGTTTAGGAAAAGTGGGTTAGAAAACGTATACTGGGAAATTTATTTCCGGACGGAGAAAAGAGTAGAGTGGAAACTTAAAATCCGGACGGAGGGAGTATATATTAATAATCTATATGTTAAGACGAATCAAACAAGATCACACATGACTATTTTTAGGCTTACACATTGAGAGAATTTGATGAGTCAAAGTGTTTAGATGAACAGTTCCAAAAGTCAAAAGTGGACAAACACTCAGGGACGGACCAAGTATTTCATACGGAGTATGTTTTATCGCCTAAATAAAAATGTTGATTTTATAAAATGCTTGCAACTAAGATTTCGTAACTTTTTTTAGCATTATATTTTATCATTACAAGTTTTATTTTGGTATATTTTAATATATAATATATTGCCTCTGTTTTTGAGTATTTGAAAATTTGTCCAACAAATTATGTACTCCGTAATAAGTTGGTCAAAAGGGGTACAATGGCTGACTGGGGTGCGAACGTGATAATGTCTGAGTTCGACGTCTGACATTAATCACAAAGAATTATAGTCATGCATGCATTGTATGTAGTCATTGCACATACCAAACACTAAGAACAAATCTAACTTCGTATGGAGTACGTGCTAATTAATGTTATGCACCCTCCTTTCCTATGTCTAGCCTTTTGCTTATGACTTGACACACTTATTAAAGAATAGTAACAAAAATATCTAATTTTAAAAAATGCACGCACAATAAATTTGTAGAGGTTCTTTTCTTATTAAAAATAATAAAAAAAAGTAATTTAGTGGTAAAATAGAAGGATACAGAGTATTATTGAAGTTAATTCTTAAAAAATAGACTAAAAAGAGGAAATGAGAAAAATATTACAGGACGGATTAAAAAAGAAAATTGGAAGAACATTTTGGGACTGAGGAAGTATTCAAACTCTATTTATATCTAGATGCACTTCATGCCCTACCATCAATCTGCAATTAAAGTCTAATTTACATCCTCTCACTTGTTGTCTAGTTGAGTCTGAGGGTACTTTTAAGGGAGAGACTCATCCTTTTTTTATATAAATATCAGAGTAGATGACATCTCCAAGGATTTTAATTTTAGAGACAAATTCTATGGGGTGGAGTGTTTTTTTTGTTTCTAGTAAAAAATCACATTAGATGTACAATAAATAATGGTACAAAAAGATTTGAGAGGAGGGGCGGATGGATGGGAGCAGGTGCGAAAAGCCTCCATGCGCGCTGTAATGGGGGGTTCACGTGCGCGCGCCCCTACAAGTGCTCTTCCGCGTGTGCATTCAATCATTTTTCATCATTTTTTTCCCCATACGTACACAATGGAGTGTAATGGGCCGTTCCAGGAGAATCAAGGCCCGACAGTACAAGAAAAAAAAGAGAAATGCTATATTCACAAACAAAATGGTCACAAAATTCACAAACTTACTATTTGTGAACTTTAATGAAAAAACTTAAATAGTCTAAAATAATTTTAAAATGAAAATTTAAACCATAAATGGTAAGTTTGTGAAGTTTGTGATCATTCTGTTTGTGAACGTAGCATTGCTCGAAAAAAAAGAGAGTCCTTTTCATCATTGTAAATGTATTTTTCTCTTCTTTCTTTTCGTGAACATTTTTAAGTTATTTTTTTAATGTCTTAAAAAAATAAAAATTGTTGGTATTTGGAATTGAAAATAAAAAAAAAGAAATTAACTTAAACTTCATTTTTCTCAAGGAGAAAAAAGTAAAGAGTAAAACATAGAATATATATCAAAATACTACTTTCATGTTTTATTCATAAAATAAGAGCTAAAATACATTTACAATGTCGATTATGTCATTGTGTAATATCAAAAAGTATTGTGAAATGTTCATATATAGCGTAATATTATCACATTGTAAACTTCTATTCTAGGGTTAAGTAAAATCATTTGGCTTAGTGAAAAATTTGGTAGTGTGGTTAAGTTGGATGTATGGTGCTATGTTTATTTGGGAATAAGAGTTCGAACCTAGCTTTATTAATATACTTTTAAATAAACAAATATTACTGCATATCAAAAGTTGATATATCAAAGTAACATATATATTTCAAATTAAATTTAATTATATCTAACAGTTTACATTATAATTAATTTTTTTTATTAGTGTCATTTGTAATATTCTCATTTATTCTTCTATGTTAGAAGAATAAATATTTCTACTTTTTTAATATTCCTAGTGTCAATTAGATAATTTCAAGTTTTTAATATTCAAATTAGTTTTAATGAAATTAATTTTTAATGTGGATGGAGTATCATCATTTACATGTATTTTTCTACTACTTCGTACTTTTTATATGAAGAATTGATAGTATACAATTACGTTGCCAAACCAAACAAAATGACTCCACTAGCTCCAACTAGGCCTAATTTATACGGAGTATCTTCTTTGCCTATGTTTCCTAGTCATTTATAAAAATGTCGAGGGGCGGATGTACCTTATATGTGGTGGGGTCACATGCCCCCCTACTACTTTTTTTTTTATCTATTTTTTTTAAATGGTTGATACCATGGATGCACTTAAGTTTTGCACAGATGGTTATCATATGTGTCGCATATATGATTATCATCTGTGTCATATGTGCGAAACTTGGGTGCATTAATGATAGTAAGTATTTGGGAGCACTCTAGCATTTTTTTAATGTTTTAAGACTTATATTATTTATGACCCCAACTAAAAATATTAGAGACTCCAATTAAAAGTATTAGCGACTGAATAGATAGTGTTTAGTGAGAAAAAAATATGAGAAAAGTTAAATATTTAATTATTAAAAGAGTATAATCTTAAAGTCAAATTTTAAAAAATCACAAAAATAAAACCAAAAGTGAAACACTAAATATATATAATAATTAAAGTAAGTTATAATGCAATCCATAAATAGAAAATTTATTCTTTAAACTTTTTAATTCACTATTTGAATAATTACTTGAGGTTAAATTCATTATTTTTTTAGAAAAAATTGCACTAAATAGGACTAAAACATAAGTAATTTCTCATTGACTGATGAGAAGAATAATGTTTAGTAATGAATAACATTTACTTGAATAAAGACTAATGAATAATGACCAATGATCCTACATTGAGATATAAAAATATATTATCTTATATTTAAAAAGTATTTTGTTTTAGTCCTATTTAAGAGCACTGGTAATGGTTATGAAACCCCGGGGCTTCAAACCGGGGCTTCAAACTTTCTCTCTCTGCCACGTCAGCTTTAACTTACACCAAAAATTCACCGGAAATGGGTTTGAAGCCCCGGGGCTTCAAACCTGGGCTTCAAACCTTCATTTTTTACATTTTTAAATATATATCTTCTAAAATTAAATTAATAAAATGTAATTAATTTATTATTTAATTAAATTGAAACACGAATAATAAAAAAATACATTCATTAAATAAAAAAAGCGTCAATAATTTAAAAAAAGATACATTAATAAAAAAATGGGAGGAGGGGTTTGAATTTTGAAATTTAAAAATAAGAAAGAAGAAGAGATTGAAGAGAAGGTCTGAGAGATTGGTTGGGGAGGGTTGAATTTGTAGGAATTTTTTTTTTTGAAATCTGGCTGCAACGGCTAAAAAAGCCGTTAGGAGGGCGCCGAGAACGATTCACGCCGCGTCAAACAAATGACGCAGCGCTCCTCACGCCCGTTTAACGCCGGGGGGGGCGGTGTTTCACGCCCCCGGGGCGTTTAACGCCCCGTAACGCCGGTGAGCGTGAGAAGTATACCCAGTGCTCTAAGTAAATAGTATTATGTGTAATCAATTTCCTCAATTGGTGTTGAAGATGCATTATATTACGGAGTACGTATTTGAATTGGTTTAAAACTGTTAATTAATTTATGTTATTATGCGCAGAACACGGACGGTAGTGGGGGTAGTGCACCACCATCCATGGCGGCGGCGATGAACAAGAACTTCATGGCGTTCGGCGGAGGGCCTCGGCTGTGCACCGGATCGGAACTGGCCAAACTCGAGATGGCCGTCTTCCTCCACCATTTAGTCCTTAACTACGATTGGAAACTCGCCGAGTCCGACCAGGCTTTCGCCTTCCCTTTTGTCGATTTCCCCAAGGGCTTGCCCATCACCATCTCCCGCCGCACCTCTTCCCCCGCCACCACCGCACTTCCATCTCACGCCGCCGCTGCAAGTAGGGATTAATTGTTGATGTATATATAGCAGCACATGAAGCACCAGCCAACTTATATATTTATAATATACTTATTATACACATAGAATTTGGTTTTCCCTCTCTTTAGTCTTTTTTGCCTTTTCATTTTCTTTTTTTTCCGTTTCTTTTTCTTTTTAATCAAACAAGAAAAATATTTTCTTTTCATTTCCTTCTCATATTCCTTGAACCAAACATAGTGTTAAAGAATGGAAAAAAATACGGATTATCTGGCAGATTCTACCTAAATATATACTAATCGAGTATCATACTCATCCATTGTGCCAAGTAATGAGAGTAACTTAAGTGATAGCTAGTTTTTAGAGTAGATCAATACGAAACAAATTAAAGATCCAGATCGGATAGAGCACTAGAAAAGGTCATAAACGATACCCAAGCTTCAAGTCTTCTTTTTCCGCGCATCAGCTTTAGCATCCATTACTTACATAAAAGTTTCATTTGAAATGGATTTGAAACTTTGCAGCTTCGAATTGAGGTTTCAAACCTTGTTTTTTAAAATTTTTAATAAACATTTTATAAAATTAAATTAATAAGATTTCATTAATTAATTAATTTAAATGACAATAATTCATTAAATAAAAAAGATTTTATTCAATAATAAAGAATATTAAATTAAAAAAACTACTCCTTCTGTCCCATAAAGTGTTACCCATTTTGACTTAAGTTGAAATTAAGGGAGAGATAATTTTGTGTTGACTTTCCAAAAATACCCTTGATGTGATGGGTAAAAGTAGGATGTGATGTGTAGATTATTAAGAAAAAGGTATGATGGGATAGGTAGGGTTTGAAAAAAGTAAGGGGTAAAAGTGGTTTTTTAATAGAAATGGGTAAGAGATTGTGGGACACAATTTTTTTGAAACGTGTAAATCTTTTTGGAACGGAGGGAGTACATTAATAAAAAACTAAGGCAAATTATATTTAGCCTTGATCTCGTTTTGTCTTCTCTCGTACTCCGTAATGCATACGTTTGAATCCCGCTAACACTTAACGTATCAAGGTCGATTTCCATTATTTCGAGCTTCTCCTTCTCTGCCTTTCGTTAATTCGTTTCTCCCTCTCTTCTTTCCTGAGATTGATCACTCACATTTAATTTGTTCAACGATTGCCTACACGATATTGTCGTAAGAGGAAACAGAGTCGGACCCTGCAGAACCCGAGGCGATTGATTTTGCCTTCTTTCTTCCAACTTGCCGTGGAATGGGGTCCTAGTCATCGGAGTCGTCTAGGTTACTCCGACGAGCTGGTAGTATCATCAGTGTCAATCTCGGCGAAGGATCTTTTCTTTGACGATACAGCCTCGGGGTTGTTGAGTTGTTTCCATTTCGGTGAATGATTTAAAACTCTCCACAACTCAACTGGGACTTTCCCCTTGTGTCCATCGTCTTGATATCAGGCGGTGGCTTGCCACAGAATATTCGTCCTGCTCTTCCATGACTGAGAGTATTCCTCGTAAAATATGATAAATTTTTGGACTTTTCTGTTGATGTGGCCTCATTGGGAAGGGAACTGGTCTCGAGTTCGGTCGAAGAAGTCCTTGTTCATTGCCGTATATTTTAATACAAATATTTAAAAAAGAACCTATATAAAATATATATTAAAAAATTACCAAGGATAAGATGCTCCGAGACATCAACCCACGCGGACGTGAACAAAGTTTTTTCTTCCGGTGTCCATTTTTGAATGGACCATGCCGCCTTAATCATCGACTTCTCGTTCCTCGGTTTTTAACGACTCTTCTGTGGTGTACTTTTGTTGGTGCACTTGGTTACGTTCTGGCTGGGTTACCGAAACTTACTCCGGCTCCTCCATTGGGTATCGAAGAACATCGGATTATTCGTGTACGTTCAGTAAAGCCACTTCGCATACTCGTTTGGCTCAAGACTAGACGAAGGAACGGAGGAATCGAAGGGATTCATGATAAAAATAAGAGAAAAACTTGAAATTTTTTTAAGAAAGAAGAGAAATTTGTGTCTGTATGTTTTATTTTAAAAAATGAGAATGAATTTATAGGGGAAAATATTTTTTTGAGACGAAGGAAGTATATAACTTTTGAAAGAAAGTGAATAATTAGATTTTCTGTGTGAGAAAGACAAGATTGTAGTGGTTGAAATAAGGCATTATTATCTTGATAATAAGTCAATGCTTGTACACCGGGATTGCACAATGGATATCACTATCCCGAAAGATATCACAACTAGATTCAATTGCAAGAGTTGGATGCAAAGTTTTAAAGTTTGTGAGATTTGAGCAAGATTGGCATTGTGATTGAGAAATGGTTGGTTAGAAAACTCGTATGTATCTCAACCTCTTTTTTTGATAAATTTGATTCATGCAAGTGCAACGGAATCCTTGTACATTCATACACACGCGTATTAGGCGTATACTACAAAAACACAATTTTAAGATTAACAAAAATTTTGAATTATATAGAGAAATCTACATAAAATACTCCGGGTATTTCAATTTTATTGATACCACATTTTGCTCTTTGTATTGATCGAGAACATTTCTTTTCACCTGCAATCCACTCGATCACAAGCGCACTTAAAAAACTTTCTTGGTTATTCAATCATAAAGGAGACATCCGCCCTCCTATTTATAGTCAATTATAAAGCTAGGCATCTCTAAAAATACTCAATACATCTTTAAATTTCCGAAATCTTTTAGAAAGCTTTTCAAACATCATAATGTTATAAGAGAATCTAGAAAATTTCCACACAATTTTAGAGATTTCCACATTTTCTAGAGAGCTTTAGAACATTGTAGAAATTTCTAGACTCTTCTATACAGTTTTAGAGGCTTCTACACTTTTCTAGAAATTCCACAATGTTCTATAGAATTTTACACATCTCCACTAACTCATAAAATTCTCTAGAACTTTCTGTCTCATCCTCGCTCCGTCAAGACTTATTTTTCACACTTGTTTTTTCAGCAGTGGTGGAAACTTTTGTTTATTTCTGCGTCTTTATTGATTATTTGATAAAATAAAATATTCTTGACACCTCTTATTTCAAAGAACTTTTCATGTAGTTTCTAATATGTAAATTTTATTTTTTATTTCCATGCCAATATGTAAATAAAATAAATTGAAAAAACTTGATATTTTGCCTCGAGAATACAAATGTGACAAATATTTAGGGACGAAAGGAGTAATAATTATTACTCTCAAGTGTTATGCTTAATGATGAAGATTATCAATTATTATTATTATTATTATTATTATTATTATATTTACAAATAAATATTATTATGAATTTTTATTACCATTATTATTAATTACTCCGTATTACTCCCTCCGTCCCACTATATTCGTCCACTTTTGACTTTTGGAACTGTTCATCTAAGCATTTTGACTCATCAAATTCTCTCAATGTGTAAGCCTAAATATAGTCATGCGTGATCTTGTTTGATTTGTCTTAACATATAGATTATTAATATATAATTTCTATAATTTTTTAATATACAAATTACAAGATAAAATGGATTAAAGAAGTGTATTGGATGTTGTGCAAAAATAAAAGTGGACAAATATAGTGGAACAGAGGAAGTATTCACTAATAATAATAATAATAATTAATTTAGTTATTATTATTCTAATAATAATTATTAATTACTATTATTATTTAATATTATCATTGTTATTAATTATTTTTAGTTAAAAATAAATATAAACATTATTATTAATTAATAATGATAATGATTCTTATTATTGTTATTATTGTAGTTAGTATTATTAATTTAAAATTTTTTTTAAATGCTTTTATGATCTGAATAAATTTGATTTGATTTGAATTGATCTAAATGAATCTATAATGAATCTAATCTGATGTGTTCCAAATCTGATAAGAATAAGAATAAGTAATAAGTAGTTGAAATAAGCTGAGCAATAAGTCCTAATTTGGTTTCCTTATTAGAATTTAACGGTGGATAAATGCGCGTCGTGTCTAACGCATCGAATCCGAATTCTTGTGGCTTAGAACCCATCGGCGCGCGTTCCACGTTAAGTTGGACTTGGGAATTCCAATATATCCATGCATTAAGGAATCATACGTGGCCTGTTTTGGACCCCAAATCTGGCCCAACTTGGAGTTGATCAATTTCATCAAGTAATTGGACATTATAAATTATAATACTAGTATTATATTGGTCTGCGTTGGTTGAATATGTGACTCAATTGATTCATAAACAATTGCTGAGCTCAAATATTTTAAAATCTAAAAAAGATCAAAAGTGGTATTCAACATATCATTTCCAAAATAAACGATAGCTTGTGATTTTTTTATATTAAAATATACAAACAGTTTGGTTACACAATGTCATATGAATTTTTTTCGTTAACTAAAGAGAATGAAAGTATGAAACCAAACTTTTGCATTGGTCCATCTAATGTTCAAATTAAAATTTATACCACCATCCTCCCTAAATCAATTACGCTTTATGCCAAACGAAGTAAAATCTTAAATTTTTTCAATTCATCTTATTTAAAGATTGGTATATAAATAAAAAATAAAATTTACATATTTAAAAAGTACATTAAAAATTCTAAAAAAATAAAAAATGAATTTCCATCGTAATTAAAACATCCAAATTCAAGTAGGCATACACGGAATACAATACAAATAAAAATTTGGCTCATTTTATTCCCTTTGTTGCCTAGGTTATATGCCATTTTCGTAAATAACCACCCACATAGATGATTAGTGTTTTGTTAAATAAACAGGCCCAGTTGAAACTATCTGGTCGCGTTTGCCTTTGAACATTCTCTCCTTCTTCTTCTTCTCCCATCTCCAGAACTTACGATTTCGCCGGTGCAATCACAAATCATTCGTATTCCATTCAAAGTTCGCTAGAGATGTGGCGCTGCGTGTCGCGTGGCCTTCGCAACTGCTCTAAGAGATCAATCCCCGGCGACTCCCATTTCCGGCGCTTCTTCTCTGCTCAATCAGTACGCTATCATCCTGTATCTCATCTAGATGTCTATACACTTTCTATTCTCCGAATGAATATCATATCTGTTGATTTGTAAAGAGATATGTTCGGATTAT